CCCCAAAACCCCAAAACCCCAAAACCCCAAAACCCCAAAATATTCAATTAAAATTGAAAATGGGAGCACTTGGCTCAGCATGTGATGTGAAAAACAATATAACATTTAACTGGCACTTCGGGTTTGTTGTTGGTAGGTTTACCTACACAACGTATCAAGACTGTATGAGTGAAACATGTAAACTATCTATTGCCAATCCGAACAAGCGTCGGTCTATCTTCCGAGTGACTAGCTACTCCTTCATGGATCTCTCCTCGCTGGACTACAACGGGCAGATGGTGGCTGATTACGAAATAATCTTGCGAAAATAATGATGAGGAATTTATAGCAGTGGGGTTATAGGCCTGGGATTCGCAATGAAGCCTCTCTTTGGAGGCTGGTGGAGCTACAACAACTGGTGATTCGATGATGCCGGCACTATTAATTATATGTACGGAGTCACGGACTATATCTCCACCTATGTAGCCTACAACTTGGGTTACAACCTTTCACTCAATCTTGACTTTCAAGTGTATGATACGAGCTTGAGAGAAGACGAAGAGGACAAGGAGGATGTATTCTCGTTCAAAGCTGATTTTGAAGAAGAAGAGCTTATTGATGGTGAAGATGCTCTAGAAATAATTCTTCCTGAAATCTCAGATCTAGTTGAGGATGTGCACGACTTCACTATCCTTAACATCCAGGAGGATGAGCAGCTCCAGGTAAAGTCTGAGGAAGCCTCTATAGATGAATACGGCAAAGGGCATTACGAGGAGTCTCTCACAGTTGACGAATATGCTGACAAAGTCATAGAGTCTGCTGACAAAATCTCTGTGGATGAATTCGCTGGCAATTTTATCGAAGAATCCTTTGACTCTGATGAGTACGATACGGAGCAGGAGGAAGAGCAAGGCAGCAAGGATGAGTATGACCTTGACCAACAAGAAGAGACTGCTCATGTTGATGTCTATGATTTCTCAGAAGTTGAAAGCCACCAAAGTGATAAACAACCTTAAGAGGATACTGCGAATAATTGCAATTTGAGTCATAAAACGAAGCTCATAGATTTACTGATGCTGAGTTTGAATCAAATTTGATTCATATTTTTATCGGGAAATTATCTCGAATAGATCCTCAACTGAGAGGAATTTAATAAGAACGAGATTATTCAAAATTGGATAACTAGCAGCCTGTATAGTTCTTTTATTCCAGCTGATTTTGATAGATTTCCTCTTCATTTGATGCAACATTGTTATAATCTCTAAATTGACTATATGCCACGAAGTTATGGTGAGATACCTAACGATGACATTATCACTGAGAATCTCTTATTTAATCGACTAGCTTTCTAAACCTGTCATCAGAGTCTGTAGTCAGACAACTTCGTAATTATTTTTGCTCGAAAGATACTTCTAGGAACCGGAAGCTCACTTCTGAGGAGCAGTTATTGTAAATTGGTTTAATTCAATTGTAGCCATTAGTTCAGGGGTTTTGGGGTTTTGGGGTTTTGGGGCTTTGGGGTTTTGGG